GTTGTTGACCAAATGAATGTGGGGATCTGACTAATCTGAAGGTGCAGAAAGGGGATCTTGAAGAACCTAAGGGTGATTTGGGGAGTTCTACAAACGGAGCTTGAAAGTGGATATGATAATGAAGCTAGGAGGTGTAGAAGTGGCAAGTATATTGATTTTAACAAGAGGTATAAAAAGGGTTTGACACTGATTCTCAGAGTAGTTGAATATGAGCTAGTAAAAGGTCTTCTTGATGATTTCAGAAGGAGATCTTAAAAGCTGGATTAGAAACTATTAGGTTTTCTTTAGGAAAAAAGTTATCTAAAAAATAAGGTGGTGGAATCAAGTGTGTTGTTTCTTTAACACTGATCATCTTTTGCCCCTGAGTAGTTTGTTGAGGAATTTAGAGTTCTTCAAGAACTCAATGCTTTTCCACATCCGGACTGTTTTGTGGGTGCTTCAATTGTTCCCAAGGTGGGTGCATACCGTGTATGTTTATTTTGATACTTGGTATCTTTACCTTTTGCAAAATTGTGTGCTGATTGATCATGTTTAACATTGCTTTGTCATTGTTGTGATCTTATTAGTGTCTTCTGTGCTTCTGAGTCTTTTTAGATACTCTGTAAGTGTACAGTTCTCCACGTGCATAGGATTTTTTGCTGCCAGAAAGGGTTTTGCCAGCCAAAATGAGGTCTATAAGTGTACATTCCTAGAAGTCCATGAAAAAACCACCCACCATTCCAAGCTGTATGAACATCGAGGGAAATGACTGTATGTATATATTTTGATCTCAAATAACTCATCCATGATCTCCCCTTTTTTCCAAAGCAAGTGATAGATATAGACATATCATACTCACTTTGGATGAGCTGTCTGTAAGGGATATACACATGACATTAGGATATGGGATTAGAAGTATGGGATTAGTTAGACCGCACATATGTTTCTCCTCTCAACCCGGCTCCAAAGAATCTTCACTCTTTGAGAGCCATACTCGGGATTCTTTGGAGCTAGGTGAGCTTTTATCTTTCACTTGTTGTTTCTATCTTTGGATCTTGTTCTTATATCTGTTAGGAGGATTACTGACTCTTCAAGAGCCATACTTGGGATTCTTTAATGGAGCTAGCTAGCTCGTAATCAAATATAACAAAGTTCTAAGTTTACATCCCGCTCTAGCGCTCTCCCTGAGTCCTTCTCTGGACAGAATCCGGAGTTCTAGTGAAGGCTACAAAAGCCTTACACTGTCTCTTGTGGAATCCAGCCAAAGTTTACTTCCATCAGTAAGCTCACAGTCTCTCTGTTTTCATTTTTTTTTTCAGATATTCAGAAATTGAAAATCTTTGATACTTGATTCATGTATGTATTTTGTAGCCACCACAGGATGACATTTGCACAGACTATAATTGGGCTGAATCCTTTGATGCATCACCAGGCTTCTGGTGCTTTGATAGATAGAATGCCTGAAACTGCTGACAATGGAAGGGAAACATGATCAGAAAGTTGTAAGCTTCTCAATCAAATGGTGAGGTCTTCCAAATTTGCACGGAACATCCAACACAAAGATAGGTTCTAAAATATTTTTACCTTTGTGCACCTCTTTCAATAGGCACACCAACTTTCTTTTCATGGGCTTATGAGTCAACCAGGATGTACAAGCATGTCTAGGTTAGCTTGTATCACTGCAAATATAATGCATTTTTCTGAGGTGAGAAATGATTACATTTATTTCACAAAATGATTAAAAATGCATTAATTCTGCATTTTTCTGCATTAATTCTGCATTTTTCTGCATTAATTCTGCATTATTAATCATTTTGCGCATTGATGTCAATCATTTTTCACCTTGGAAAAATACATTATTTTTGCAGTGTATATCAGATGATGAAGCTTCAAACAGATAATGTTAGAAGCTACTGGTGACTCATAGAGCCTGAGGTTCTTATAGTTTAAAGAGAAACAACAGTGAGAGATAACAGCCACAAGATAGAATATCAGATATGAAAGAAACAAATCATAACATCACACAGGGTAATCATTGCTGCTAACAACCATGACACAATGTATCAAACACAACGTAAAGAAACAAATAAAACAAGGAAACCAATCAAATGACTAGTGAACATAACACTTTTTTATAACATCAGAAACAGAGCAACAGGGCTTGTACGCTTTATTATGATGTGACATGTTTTTTCCAATGACTCTTCATTCTTAAGTGTGCTGTTGAATTCGAGATTTTTCATCCTTCAGTGTGCTATTGAATTCAAGACTTTTCCTTCTTGAGTGTGCTACTGAGCCTGTTTCCTCAGCCTATAAAATTTTGACATGAACTCAGCTGCAAGAGTCAAGAACCTACAAAAATAAACCCAACAGATCATTGCTCTTACCAATGAACTCTGAGTATGAATATAATATTTCATTCAACCTTTATTCTACAATCAATTTTTCATCTTTCTTGACCCAACATTCAATTGTATTGCCCAGCTTGAATAACCCCGTAAACAACTCCGGTACTTAAAAATTCCATGTTAGAAAAATTTAAAATCGAGATCTCGATGTTTTTGTTCATTGATTTCGATGTCTTAAGTTTGTTCTGATTTCTTTGTTAATTGTTTCTTCCTTATATGTTTGCAAGTTTTTGAATCTTCCGGTCTCTAAACGATACTCTGCCAACAACGTGAATGCTTGTGGTGTGTCTAAAATGAGTTTTGCTGATTTAGTATTCATTTTCAATCTTTGCTTGTTTACTTCAAATGTGAATCTAGTTCGTTGTTTCTTGTTTGTTTTGCAGAGTACTTACTGCAGATTGATGCATTCAATTGACAGTGCCCGCTTCTCAATTTATCTTTCATACTCAAAAAAAGGCTCTCACCCTAACTTAACTAAGTCCCTGACAGGAGTCGGCGCCGGAAGGTGTCAAGCGAGTTGTCGAGCTGTCCGAACTCCTGCAGGGACTTGCAGATTATCAGCACACCAAGGCGTGATAAGAATTGTCCTTTTGGTGGGACAATCTTTGTCCTCCATCTATCTCCTTCAGACCTCGGGGAAAAGTCTTGAGGCAAAGAAATGACCTCCGCGCTGAGAAACCGCGCATCTTGTACATAATTTTTTATCCGAGGAACTATTCTCGTTCTTCTTATATCTTTCTTTATCCGAGGAACTATTCTCGTTCTTCTTATATCTTTCTTAGAAGTTTGCTGAGGAATGGGTGTAACGTGTGTAATCAAAACTGCAGTTTGGAATCATACTGCGGGTTTTGAGTTGCCTCGAGGCAAGCGTGATCAAAGTGATCGAACTGATACTACGATTGATCCATCGGACTGCACCTTATTCATCTTGATCCCTCGAGCATCTTAGTTTTTCAAACCCAATCTCATTAAATCAAGACCAACAAAGTTCAGAATGTTAACTCACAGCAAATCTTCGGCACTCTTGAATCTAAACGACGAACCAGCCCTCGAATCAAAAGGAGCATCAGCGCGGCTTACCATTTGTCAAAGTATCTTATCTGCAACAAAGGAAGAACAGAAAAAACACTTGGTGGTAATTTTTGATAGAGCTTATGGCGTACAAGTAAAAGAATTACAATGTGATTCGGTTTTGAGTTTGATAGATCACAAAAACACATGCCTACTAGCCGGAACCGGTTTTGGCAAATCCAGGGTTCCCGAACTGTTCTATCGCCTTTTCCCAAAGAGCAAGAACCCAATTGTGCTAGTGATTAATCCACTTGATGCGTTGGGAGATAATCAAGTGTGTATGTGTATTATTCCTCAGTTGTGATTGTCGCTGAGAAGACATCTGATCCAATCATACAGGTTGAAGAAAAAGCCCAGGTGGGTATCCCAGCAATCAACCTAACGCAGTCAACCTTCAATGAGGACGTTGTAAATGATATATTGGAAGGGAAATATCACTTCTTATATCTGGTTTGTCTGCATCAATTTTTGACGGAGTGATCCAGCTGACTTACATACTCATTTTGTTATTTGACCGCTTTGGATAGAGTCCGGAGATATTTCTCAATAGTCCAATGTTCAAGAGATTGTATTTCAATCCTGATTTTCAGAACCGCCTTATACTTAAGGTGGTTGATTAGGCTCATTTAATATACCTATGGGGCTTGGTTGCAAATGGTACTGCTCGTCATATTTCAAGTCACACTGGTTGGCAGGATCGCGGCATTTTCCGACCTTCGTACGGAAACCTCTTCGACATGTTTATGGCATCGGATCACGCGCAAGTTCTTCTTATGTCGGCCACCTGTCGTCCGGTAGTCCTCCAGGGTATCAAGGACAGTTTTAAATGGAATGATAATGATTTGGTTGTGCATAGAGGGGAACTGGTTCGACCCGAAATTCGCATCATACAAGTGACTCTCAAGTACACTCTGTCAAGTGCTGAGGATATCAAGTCTTTTTTCTCTCCTGCCTCCGAAGTCTCAGCGTCAGATATTCCACCTACATTGATATATTCCGGGAAAAAAGTTGGAACATTTGAGACAATGAGTGCGTTGAATGAAGCTCGACAAATGCCTGAAGATTCCTTAAACGGCCTCAGTAACTGTGCTCGGCGTTTCACCTCGGCCACTGGACCTCAAGACAAGATTGACCGTTGTCGTGACTTTGGCCAAGGTGCTTTTCCTGTGATGTGCTGCACAATGGCACTAGGCCTTGGTCAGAACTGGACCAGGGTTCGGCGGGTCCTTGTGATGGGTAAAGGTGATCCAGCCTCCATTGCTCAACTGATCGGGCGGTGCGGCCGAGACCGCAGACCTGGCCTAGCAATTATGCTGGTTGAGAAAGTCAGAAAACCTCGTAATGATGTAGGTAGACTTTCATCAAAAGCGTGTACCACTGCATCTCAGTCTGAAGATGCTCGTCAGAAGGCTCTTCAGGAGACTAATGTATGCCTCCGAGTTGCCTTTTCTGTTGATAATCTGTGAGTACCTGTTCTCGCTCTGATTATCACCAGTCACAAACTGACATGCATGATCTACCAATAGCCTGGGTTACATCCCTATGTCTGTGACTGACTCGGGTTATCTTCAAGAAGTCAAGCGGCAACAAGAGGCTGGAATGCCTCGCTGCCTCTGTTCGAACTGCGAACCAGAAGCAGCCAGTCGACTCATGGCATTACAACCGAGCCTCACAAATGAAAACTTTGATGAAATTGTGACTTCGGCTGAGCGGGAATTTCCCTCGTTAGAAGAACTCAACCCCAACGGATTTCCACCCACCAAAACCTCAACTGTACCGAAACATATCATTTCGGCTTGTCCTGAAGATGATCCTATTCGATCTGTAGCTATCATGAAAACCCTTTACGAATCAATACGGACTAATTTCGACAAGTTGTTCAATAAGGCTTTCCCAAAAGGGCATCACTTTTATGCATCTACAGATTTGCTCAGCAAGGATAAGATTTGGCTAGTAGTCAAAAACTGTCGATTACTAGCCGCAAGTCATCACCTGGCCGAGATTTTAGGTAGTGAAACAATTTCTGGTCAGTTTGAGATGATAGTGTCTCAGGTAGATGACTGGTTTTCCAGTGAACCATACCAAACCTTCGTGAACACTCACCAACGCGAACCCTGGGTAGTTCCTCGTAAGGCCACGAAACGTAAAGCACCTGATTCCACTGGATGCTCCACAGACATCATGACTCTTTCGTCTCGCCAAAGGGCAATTGGAGGCAACACTTCAATTGCGCCAAGAAGTACCTCCAACGGACACCTGTTTGCGCCCGCTAACACCTGGCCAAGTTTTCCAAGAACTATGTCTGGCGGTCAAATGTTTCCAGTGGCTAACACGACCTCTGGTGTTAGCCACACTACACAAGTTGGACCAAATCAACCATACGATTCATTTTCTTCAAATATTTCCACTAACAGACGTTCTAATCCGAGTAGTACACTCCATTACAGAAACGCTTACGCTCAAAACCCCACTCTAACAAACAGTATGATGCGCTCGAATATGAATGTGCCTACTTTACAACACCAATTGAACACTAGGGTGCAAACTAATTCATCTATCGTACATCCATATGTATCACCAAACACTAACTACGTCAACCCACCGCGATATCACCATATCGAACAACCACAACCGCTTCGACTTCCACTGACCCCTTTATCAAGTAATATTCAACTCGAACCGGTTCGACCTACCTTACCCAGCCTACGTTCGTTGTGGCCTTCTGTCCAACCACGGGGCCAAGTCGATGAAATGGACTCTCGAGTACACGGTTCCTCTGGTCAAACCAAATTCTAAGTAAGATGTGATGTTATCGATTTGCTATAACAAATATGAACACTGACCAAAAAAATTCTTACTTATACTAGAAAGCATCACGAGCATCTTCAGTTTCACCGTTTTCATCATCTAAAGAACTCTCAACTGAATTGGGACATCCCCAAAAAAAGCGTGATCCACTTTTTTTTGTTACATCTTTGGACAACACACTTTGTAGTTTGTCAAGACCTGTTTTCATGAAGTCTGGTGTGAGCTCGGGTTGTGGCGCTAAGTTAGAGCGAACAAGCTTCTTCTTAGCCATTCGGAGGAAGTGTTCCAATGTCCTGGGAGTGATTGCACGGCTAGCGGATTGAAATATAAGATTATCGCCTGATCGAAGTTTGATATGTCGGAAAACCTGTTTGAGCTTTGTTTTGCGTGAAATACCCATGTGTAAGCACCAAAATTCGTGATCAATCAACATCAATATACTGTGAATACACACAATATCGATTCCTAGCGAGTATCATTCAGTGAGTTTGTCAATACTTGTTCCACACCCCTTTTGACCGCCCGTACGTAAAGCAAACACGATCAAACAAAAGTGACCAAGTGGGAGTCAATGTGGTTAGATTTCTTCCGATCATCTGTAGGACAGAAATTAGACTGACTGCGTGGTTAAAAAAATACTTAAGCCACCAATTTTGAATTTCCAAATAATGATCTTTTGCTATAAAGTGTCCTGGCCGACCACTCGCTGCCATCAACATCGAATGTTTTATAATGTGAGCTAAACCTTTGGGAAGGTAATGTTCCAAAAGCAGTATCAATCGGGGTAGATGCTGAGCATAATGGGTCAAGCCGGGCAATCCCTGCCCCATTATGCTCCATCGCTTCCACATCAAAATAAGTCTCCCGATATCACCAGCTTTGGAAGAATCTTCAGCTTCCACAACTGTGGCAAAGTCTCGAAGCTGTATACGAAGGTTATAACCTCGATTATCTCCTTCAAACTTAGCCAAATCCATCTGTTCACGTGAAAAGAACCGGGAGTAAGCTCTTTCCACAATTTTTTGAGCGACCGCAGTGTCACTAAGATCGGATGGTGTTCCTTCTTCGTCTATGATTGATCTAAAGGTAAAAGTACATGAATAGCTGGCGAGTGAACAAATCAATCAAATCACTTACTGGAGGCAGAACACCAATGTTGCTGTGTGAACTTTGTGAATAATGTTGATTATCGACGTAAAATCCTTTTTACTATTAGGAGGGGTTGGTTTCCCTCCCATTGTTTCCCATAGCCGCCACACCCCAGTATCATGACTATCTTCATGTTTCCCCCAAAGGGCTAAAACAATTGCTTGTGAGTAGTTCCACATCGTATGTGCAGCTCCGGGAACTGTGAGATAATTATGCAAGCCTTCGTGTCGATTTCCGGAGGGCAAACGATTCTTTCGGAGACTTTCAAAGTGCATACAAGTCCCAACATCACCTTCTATGATTTGAAGTTCATCGCAAAGATCGGTAAGACTCCTTCCCGTCTGTTTTGAAATAGCCTCCAGGATTTGCCCAATACCTTCAGCTGAGGTGTCAGCCGCATTCAGTAACTCAAACATCAAAGTGTTTGGTTCCATGACTTCCAAAAGTTCAATCGAGGGCGGATGCCGTTCCAGTTTAGGAATCTTTGAAGCATTCGATGGGTTTATGTAATCGAGGTAAGCACGGTTGAGCTGTGACTTACACACCGCCTCCCAGTGTTCTAGCGCCGAGGCATCCGGGAGAAAGGAGGTCGCGTGGACCTTTTTGTTTTTGCTTTCGTTCATTGCTTTTCTAAAAGCCTCAAGTGTTAAATCTTCTTTAGGAACAGAGTCCATTAGACTGACCGGGAGGAGGTGAAAGTATCCCCATGTACCATGGAAGACACGGGTGCTCGCTTCAACTCTCTTATGATGGATTTTCTCTTGAATGTCTAGATTATCAATACACAAAAAAGGCCGAACTTTATATGACCTGGCCATTCGTTGTTTCAAGATTCTCGCTGATAACTTTCGCAGGCAATCCAAGACCTTTAAGGCAGTCTCTCGAGAGGTACTAAGGCCAATGTTTTGCAAATAACGATTAACCCGATGGCTTACGCCAGCCGCTAGAAATGCCAGAGAATTCTCAACCTGAAAACCGTTCACTCGCCGGTTACACATGTTGGCGAACATCAAGCATAAGGTTCTCGCCGCCTGGTAATGACATATGTGTAAGCCACCGCCACATACAACAAATCATAAAATTTGTTCTTACCGAAGTCACCCTTTCATGAGACCATCTTGACCAACGACGAGCACCGTCATTGTAGAGGATCTTTTCAGCTTCCTTGACGGGCTCGGCTTCGGAACCATCTGAATCCGAGGGTGATCTATCATCTGAGCTATCCGAATAGTCTTTTCTTTCAAGACTGTGCTGTAGATTGTCATCTGATGAATTACTTGAGGAAGACGGTGGATTATCGTGGGCGTCGTGGGCCGTATCATCAAGAGCAAATGATTGGTCCACCCAGTCCGAATCCCCATCATCACTTTGAATATCGTCTTCATGCTCATCCTTTTCTGAAGTCGGGGAAAGAGAGGAAATCGAAGCGCTTGAGATTGAACGCTGAGAACATGAACTGGAGTTTGTGATTTGATCATCTACGCAATTGGCCTCCAATCGGCGCAATAGAAGGTTGTATAGAAAGGGCATAGTTGAAGCCACATTTTTTGCTCTTTCGGCGGAGGCCACCGGGCCAAAGAAATGATGACTAATCTTCTTTGTATTCACATAACCGAGCTTCGCTAGATTTCGACGAGAGGTGTCGATCTTGAGGAGGTCACTTGCCTGGTGGATATTGAAAAATTGAGTCTCTATGAACAAAATGAAGCATCCGCATTTATGTACTCACCTCATCTAAGATAAAACTGGACCAAAGGTCTAACCCGTCGCGAGATTTGCACGCGAGCCCACGTATGCCACGCAAGATCGCTAGTGTTGAAGGCCATCCTTTTCGCTTACCCCATACTTTTCGCAAAGTTGCCACTTTGGAACAATTCTGTTGCATCTTGACCGGATAAGTCTTGAGGGATTTCGCATGTAAGAAAACATGTAAGAACTTTTTCGGAGTCATCTGGGCCGTTTGGATGGCTTTGCAAATTGACAATGTATCCTTGATCTTTTGGTGGGTGATTGGATAGTGATACTCCGCATAGGCCGCCATGATGATGATTTATGATTTGGAATCCTTATGATTTTCGTAGTATCAGTTCGATCACTTTGATCACGCTTGCCTCGAGGCAACTCAAAACCCGCAGTATGATTCCAAACTGCAGTTTTGATTACACACGTTACACCCATTCCTCAGCAAACTTCTAAGAAAGATATAAGAAGAACGAGAATAGTTCCTCGGATAAAAAATTATGTACAAGATGCGCGGTTTCTCAGCGCGGAGGTCATTTCTTTGCCTCAAGACTTTTCCCCGAGGTCTGAAGGAGATAGATGGAGGACAAAGATTGTCCCACCAAAAGGACAATTCTTATCACGCCTTGGTGTGCTGATAATCTGTAAGTCCCTGCAGGAGTTCGGACAGCTCGACAACTCGCTTGACACCTTCCGGCGCCGACTCCTGTCAGGGACTTAGTTAAGTTAGGCTCTCACCGGAAGCCGAGTGAGCCGGCGACAGCGCGGGACTTGATTAAAATATTTGAACAACTTTGCAACTGTGGTAGAAATATGGAACTGATGCACGCCTCTCACCCGACTGCTTGTTCAGATCCTTTTTATTGTACAAGAGTCCGGGCCTCATCACTCGCTTGAACTCACATTGACTCCACGCTTTTCTATCTGCTTCATAAGTCACGCAGGCCACTCGCCATTATAATACTCAGCTTGGGCGTGTCTTCTTGAGCTAGGAGCGAAACATCATTTGATCAAATCCAGGTGAGATGATACAAGCATCAAGACTTTGTATATTGAGTGTCGGCTGATTGAGGTTGAATCGATTCAGAACTCGGAAGCTGGATATGTATCAGATCAATATGGACTTGCGCTCTTTGATCTTCGGGTTCCTTTTGTTTGCACTGATCGTCACCGGGCAGAGGAAACGAATCGTCTCGGGAGCGATTTGGAACGATGATGCTGGAAATCGGATACAAGCCCATGGGGGATCCCTTTTACAGGTAAGTGAAAACCCTGAGCAGTGATCAGTCACAAAGTTTGATCTTCCTTTTTCGATTCCACAGCGGGGAAACGAATGGTATTGGTTTGGCGAGGACAAGGGGAACGGGAACACGTTTAATGGCATCAGTTGGGTTGTCCTTCTACCTCAAAAACCAATGATTCCAAGAGCGCTAATGGGATTGAATGATATTTAGGCTGCTATAGGTCGAACGACCTTGTCACCTGGACGAGGCTACCGAATGTGTTGGTTAGTGAAGCTGGCACCCCATTGAATGGGGATATGGTGGTTGAGAGGCCCCGAGTGCTCTTCAATCAAGCCACTAACAAGTTTGTAATGTACTTCCACTATGATGTAAGTCATTTGAGATATACGTTGTTCCTTGCATAATCGGTGCTTACCAGTGTTACCCGTCGATACCATGACGCTTTGTCTAGGACTCAAAGTACGTCCATAACACATAACCCGATAGTGTGTTTTCCAAGACGTTTCCTGACAAGCTTTTGGATCTTTGGATTCAAAAGATACCATCTAGCGAAGATAGGTATCGCGACAAGTAATGAGGCAAGTTTCTATCCATCATTTAACGTGCATCACTTTAGAATACGTAGACTGATCTTGAAGCCTGGGATTTCATCGACCAATCTTGATGGGGTGACCTGAAAGCAGATCGGTTCAGGCTGGAAGTTTGATCGATCAATTTCCCCCCTCAATTCGCAGAGCCGAGATCTTTCCTTGTTCCAAGACGACGACGGAACCGCTTACGTGACCTTTGCCTCTGGCAAGTCTGCTCAACCTTCTTCTCTTTACCACAAGCCACTCGTGCGTTCAAAAGGACTGATCGACCGCGGGTAACTTGGAATCAGATAGCAATGCAAATTTGAAGCTCGCTCGTCTGAGTAAAGATTATGTGAGTGATTCCTTTCTGAAATCCTCATTGGGCAAGACTGGAGGTTTGTTAATTGGATGATTGTGATTCAGATGGATGTGGAGGAGCTGGTTTATGTATGGAAGCAGGTGTTCTGGGAAGCGACAGGTGTCATCAAGGAAGGAGGAGTTTATCACGTGATATTTTCACTCCAGGTGATTACCCTTTTAAAATCGTGATACGTGTTAGCCTTGGAACTGACGGCAACTCCGAGTGGGGTTTCACGGACGTCCTCAAGAAAGGTTGGTCCGCGAACCCAAACAAAGTTGTCAGGGCGAGCAATTTGGCTGGTCCCTGGTCAGATGCACTCGACATTGCAGACCCCCAGCTAAACACGTATTCATCCCAAAACACATATGAGCTTACCGTCACTGGCACTCAGGCTACGACCCATATCTGTATGTCAGGTCTTAGCCATCATTGCAAAGTAGAACGGTCTATGCCAGGATATTTACCATGTACTCTTTCGGAACACAAACAGTCACTGGGGATCGCTGGGTAACAGACGGCCTTGGAAACTCAAAATATATCTGGCAACCCTTGACGATGCGGGGTGGTAACTTTCAGATGGACTGGCAAGATGTCTGGGAAATTGATGTTCAAACAGGTAAAATAATCCTTCACACACCCTTTATGATGGATCTTTTTATCAACATCATTTGACTTTTTCGATGTGTTTCTTGTTCTTTCATCACAATCCAGGTGTTGTGGCCGTTTCTAAAGGGACCACGTACAACATTGCCGCCGGGCAGTCAGGTTTGTGAATTGTATTTTGGTTCTACCCCTCATATACCTCTTCATGAAGCACATGAGGCTGGAAGTCCGGAGATGCTATCTGTGAAAAGAAGTTGATGAACATTGTTTTGCGCGTTTTTCCTTCGGTCGAAACATTCAATTGGTACCTTTTGATACAGGAAATGGACCATTGCAATTCCAAGGGATCAGTGGTTCTAGCCCAGATGGAGGTGCAGCTGAATGGTGTTCGATTTACTACATAAGCGTAGGTGGCACTTATCGAACGGGGCAGATCGGCGTAAATGGAGGTGGAAAGTCCAATGTGTATTATCCACCGACTTCAGCTCTCATGTCCATCCCTGTACCCGTCACGCTGGCGCTTGGAAATGACAATGTCATTGATCTGGGCATTCCCAGCGGAGTTGTGGTTGATCATATCATTGTGTATTGAGGGATTGTGAGAGATAAAACTCATTCTTGTTTAGATTTGTTTTGTGAATCACTTCAAGTTACGATCTGGGCTTGAATATTATCTTGTAATCTTTGGAATAAGACTCGCTTTCTCCTGGCACAAGAATGGGCGGCACTGGCAAGTGAATGATCTTAGGCGGAACACCGCCACGCGATAGCGCGGCAGCTAATAACTAGCGAGTAAATTGCTGACCCCTAGCGCGCGAAAACAGCAATGACAAAGAACAAACCACAGCAGTCCCGGGATAGATAATATTGAGTGAGAAACTAGAAAAGAAAAGAGAGGCACAAGATAAAATAAAAAACCGCAATCCTGAAAAACAAGGGATGGGAGGGGGGTCCGTGAACAGAGACTATTGAAAAAATCATATAGAGAACACTGACAACTGGTCTTGACTAGAGAAAAAAGGATTAAAACACAATTACTTATTCTGTTGATATGAGACTTAAAGAAAGAAAACATGTAAAAACAATTTGGATATTCAATGAGGGGATAGTGCATGATTAGTATGAGATGGTGAAATGGAGAACAAAAAAATTTGACCTCAGAACTTGGGAAATATTATGTTTTTGAAAAATAGGAAATGAACCAGAGAAATGAAAGAAAAGAAACCCAGGACCAAATTTAAGACTTGGGAAGGTAAAACAATTGATGTAATGATAAGATGAACAAAGTAAAAAATGACAAAACAAGGAAACCACAAGCAACACCAATTAACAGGAAACCGGAAGACTTGAGAGACACAGAGATCTAGGAGACTAGGGATGATGGGCGGGCAAGGAAAAATACTATGGCGCCATAGGGGAGTAACAAAAACTGGGGCTATAGAGGATGGTGTTGATTTGGACTTGTTGGTTTCTTGATGGGAGGAAAAATCAGTGGGAGAGGAAGGCTTGTTGGATCTGCTTAAAACCGGTTGTAAGCATCTGAACCCACTTTGTTCAACCTTGATGCTTTTCCTCTTTGTGAGCTGGGGATGCTGATTGCCCCATTGTGTCGAGAGTGCACTTGAATCAACTGCTTGTGTAAGACTCACGTTGACAAAGGTTAATAAGGACTGTGGTGGGCAAACATTGTGGCCAAATATTTTTGTCAGTAAATTGTGGTATATTCCATCATGTTAGTAGCAAGCTACCAACCCACAAATCTTGAGCATTATTTGAGGTATCAAAATTTGTCAAGCATCCCTTATCTCAAGCTGGGACTATTTATTTCACATGCAGTCTTCTTGTAATAGGATTAGTGGCCAATACCTTGATCATTTTCAAGTCTTTCCCGTTTCCCACTTTGTGGGTCAAACAGTTTACATTTGATTTTTCTCCATTGATCTTTGAATACCACTATTTGATTGTTTTGTTTCCAATGAATATTTTGTTTTTTTCTCTTTTCCTTCTGGGAGTGACCCAAAAGGCTTTGTTAGCTCTTGTATCATTGAAGGCTTTTGCTCACATTTTCCTGATTATTTGGACTGAAATTTTGATTTAAAAATTACTGCTTGACCAAGAGAGGACCAGATCAGAAGAGAAAAGATAAATATAACACTGTGAACATCAAACAACTTCCACAAGTGGGAAGGGGAAAATGATTAGCAGCATAATTTGTCATAAAAGGATCTATCACTGCACACTTGAGCCATAGATACATTCAGCAGGCAAAGTGAAAAGTAAAAAAGCTTTAGCTTGACAAAAAGCTACAGTTTTTTTGAGAAATTCAATCAATCAAAACTTCACATTCACAACTCTCCTTGTTGACCAACACCTCCCATGTCAACCATGAGAAGTTACTCTGCAAATAACTTCCAACTGGTTACAACAACGGACCTACAAATATTAGTACAACTTTGTATAACACACAATTAAAATTATTATTACCACTACATCTCACACTCGAGTTTCAAGAGTGACAATGATTGAAACTGAACATAAAATGAATGACAAATTGGACCAAGTAATATTTGAACCCTGACTAACCATAAGCTTTATTCGAACCCTGACCAACCAGGAACAGCTATACGGTAACCAACCTGGTCGATTACAAACTGAGCCATACACAATTGCGATAGTAACTGAAACTACATTAAAACCGAACCAGCAAAAGGACCCTAGAATTTAATTACTATTCTAGGGACAACCTTTCGCCACGATAAGATAGGTACAACGGAACAGAGTATATAACTAACAGTTATTCGCCCATTAACAAGAAAAGCCCCATCTTATAAACACAATACCTTTTTTCTAAAAACCTTTACAGCTTTTTTATCAATTACTTTGATAAGAAACCTTTTTACTTTTAGAAAGAATTCGCTCAAAACTATCTCGCTTTATCTTCTTTTATTAGCCTACGTTTACCAAAGACTAGCTCGTAGAAAATTTACTGTTAGATAGTGTTCGTCACCACCAACCAACCACCCCGCATCTTAGCACGAGCTAACTATTGCTTACCTATCGAGATCTTATTACCTAAGACTCTTTGGAAGACATCTACTTGATCAGGATCATTAGATAGTAAACCTCGGATTTACCAAACTCTAAGAAGGGTTGTCCAAGAAGTAAGTCGCCAACTTACTTATATTCTTTTGTTGATAGATTACGTAAGTAACTAATCAACCTCAATTCTTCTGCTAAACTTAGAAGTTTCTAAACGGCTCGAATTTATAGTGAAACAGCTTTCACCACAAAGCCCTGTAAGTTAACAAAGTCTACCTATTGCGACAAATTCATTCAGTTTAGACTTTAGAAGTCACCAATTCTAAGTCCCAAGCTGACATCCCATGTTCTGGCTATGAAGCCTCTGACATCTGAAGTCAAAAACCTCATTATTGGAATCCAAGCAAGGGACATGGATATGCTTGAGAATGTGGTCTAAGAGCCAGTACAGTCCAAACTGTAAGTTCAAAGTTCAAGCTATCTGGCTTTGTTGAACGCAAGAAACCATGAAGACAGCCTAAAATTTTGGCTAGTTGTGATCACTAACATCTGATCCAAGATATCAAACCGTCAAAAAGGTTGAAAACTGATCAGCTTACCACAAAATCAGCTACAAAAGTGCACAAATGCACTATCTGAAATTCCTTGAGAAATCTTGGATATAACTTTCAAGTTGCTGTGGAACTACCACTAATGAGCGGATATAGGACCCCGGTATGCTCCTATAAGGGGTAGTCACTTGGAATTGTGACTTTTGAGCTCCCCCGGAGACCTGCCCCTGCCAAAGTGCTAAGTCAGTCCCTGGCTTCATCCATAGCTCTAGGTGAGGTTTAATCTGTCCTTGGAATTCCTTGCAACCATTCATCTGTCAAATGATAGAAAGAGTGACAATAAGTAAAGGCAGAAAACATGTGAGCTCTCTATAATCACATGAAGTGTGATTCCACAGGAGCTCAAAAGTCACAATTGTGTGTAATTACCCCTTATAGGAGCATACCAGGGCCCTGCCAAATGGATCATTTTGGCATGATTTCTATGTGATTCACCGTGTCCATGTAGGGTTTGCTTGTCGACAAGCGCACACCAACTCCCTTTGAGGCAGAAAGGGAAATCGTGCGCGCTCGTCGACGAGCAAGCGCTACCCGGACACGGTAATTTCTACATTTTAGTTCAGAAACAAATTATGGTCCTCAAACCTGTTCAAAATTTTGTGCAAGTTCTGCATAACTTCTGTGCAAGACATGGATAGAACTGGCACTGATCTTGCACGTTGGTCTTGCATGGTTTTTGTACCAGCTGGAGCACAATAGCTAGGGTTGTCAAAAAATTCAATGTGCAAGATTGGTGCAAGAAATCTTGCATGGATCTTGCACATTGGTCTTGCACAGGTTTGAGGACCATAGATATACATTCAATGTTCTCAGTCTTCCCATTCACAAGGGACAGTGTGTCTTTGTTTCATATGAAGGGTTCAACTTCATTTCATGTGATTAACTCTAAAACACTGATGTTTGTGAAAAGTTCTTGAGTATTTTTCCAATCACTTGCAAAGACTGTCATGGTAAACTTGTTAACTGATTGATATTTAAAGTATGCATGAACTTGCCTTGTCTCACTAACAAATCACTGCTCATTGAACAAGGTAAGTTCAGAACTTCAATTACCAGGGAGAAGATGGATTATGTATGTGATAGGTTTCCAGAATGTGGGGCAGGAGGACCATTACAAAAAGACAAAGTCAATCATCATAAAACATCATTTTCGAGAAAAAAAAAGTTGACTCTAATTGCAGAAGAATATATTACAAAAGCAAAGGAGAGATACAAAAAGCAAAGAAAAAAAAGAAGTCAAACCAAAACCAGAGAAAACCAGAATGATATGACATAGATCAAGTTGGTTAAGCTTTCAAAGGTTTAAAGTTTCGATGAGGTTCAGGATCAACATCAATGACTTTTTCTAACAAGTTCTTGACTACTGTTTCTCTATTCTTTCCAAATTCAGCTTTAATGGATTCAATCTAATTAAACAAACCACATCAAACTATGAGTATGACTATGAGGCGAATCAAAGTGGGGGGGGCGTAGGATGTCTTACTTTTGCTTCTGTTTCGGTATCAATTTCACGTTGTTGATCATCAGTGGAACCAGTATGCTAAACGAAAATCCAAAAAAAAACCATTTACCGGTAAGGAGTTTCCTGGTGTTGAAGCTTGGTGATAATAGTAATGTCACCTACAGTAGATTCAAAAGCTTTAAATTCTTCTTCACGTTTAGATCTAAGTGCTTCAATTTCTTTCGAAGCTTCACCTCTAGCGTCTTTTATCTTTTGAGCTCGATCTATAATTTAAAACCATCACAAAAAGCAAAATGGTCAGTTTTCTTTTAGGTTATGAAGTTGTAAAGGATCGAAAATGTGATATGAGCATAATAAGGTTACTTACATTCACGGGCTTTTTCGACAATCTTGGCGGCTTCTTTTTCGGCATCGAGTAAAGCTTGAATTCCTATGTAATCAAAAGAATACCAATTTAGAAGTCAGTCTTCATTATTAATTTCTCAGATTGTTCATTGATTGAATTATTTGAGTTTGAGTGAATCGATCATCTTCTGAAGTGTATAGAATAGATCCTCACCTTGAGATTGTTGTGCTGCCTGGAAAGATTCAACATGAGTTTAGTTTGTAAGTTCAATTGTGATAGAGATTTGACTGACCATTTTGGTTGGAGTAAGTTGATTGGAAGTTTAAGTTGTCGAGGTACAAAGTTGAAGTTGTAGAACTCATCGATGAAGCGATATCCAATCATCAGTCTTGGTCCCCGTGACATCCCAGTAACATGTGTGATATCACCTGTGTGAATTTGACATTTCACAAGTTCAAGATATACCGATTGACCAAGAAATTGACGAAATGGCGAATTTCTAAATTCTTTTAATCCGATTCCAACCAAAGAAGCTGAGAATGAATTCGATCAAACTAAGATCTCAATCAAACCATTTCTCAAAACTAATAAACTGTCAAAAATGTTATTCTAATCTTCAAATCAAACCAACTTTCAATCCTTCAAGTTCTCAATCTTCATTTCATTCAAGGAGTTCGGCTGGTTATGCAACAAGTACAAAATCAGGTAAATTATTCCTTCATTAGCGATAAGAATTATAAGAGATTCAAGGTGTTAATGGATTTTAATATTGTAGGAAGTGCTTCTGGAGCTAGGACACCAATCAAAGTCAAGATCAATAAAAAAGATCCTGGGGTAACTAATACCAAATCATAAACCGATTACAACTTTACAAAATTTTGATCCAGAAATCCCGGGTTGATTATGTAGGCTCTTACGATGGGTGGACCTGATCCAGGTCGATTAGTCAATCCTGATTATATTACCAAAAAACCAATCGATTTATCTTCTCTTCCTGAACTTGAACCGGTCTGTGATCCTCAAGAATATTTATTTTTTTATCTGAATGACTGACTCAAAGATTGAATGATCCCTTTTATCGGCTTTTGACACTTTTATGAAACTCAGACCGAATTTTTACCTTCTAATGTGGGAAAGCTTTATAAATTCTCAGCACATAGTTTGAAAGCTTTTGAACGGTTTTCGTTACCTGATTCTATTGCAGTAGATGTAAGATACTTTTCGGATTCATTGTTCTGTACTTTACGATTTTTAGTATTTCAAAAGATTGTTGACTGAGTATCAGTTTTGATTTTTTTTCGTTTCAGTGGAAGCCTACACCTACACCTACTACTACGATGCGAAAGGCTTCAGTGGAGATGATCTCTAAATTGAATAACTCTATTTCACATAAAGAAGGGGATCCATCGGTTTTAACTCTCAGTTGAGTCATGCTTCATCATAGCGAGTTTGCTTGAGCTAATCTCGTATGACATCCTTTTATAGCCGGTCCACCAGGAAGTGGAAAATCTACAGTGATGCTTCAAGCTGTTAGTCATGCAGTTCAACAGAATTGGATAGTACTTTATATACCAGATGGTGAAAGATCTCCTTATTTTTTTACTCACTATTACCTTGATCAATCAAGATTCTGATGCATCATATAAACTTTGATTGATTTGGAAGTTAGTCAAATCATTGGTCAATGGACAATATGCATATGAATATTGTCCCAAAAATCAAATTTATCATCAAAACACTTTATCAGTTTCAATTCTGAACACATTGAAATCAAGTAACTTGGGAGGCATCAATCTTGATCAAGAGTATAAATTATATGGAATGAAAGATGAAAAATTAATTGAATCTACGGAACCAATCCAAGTAGGTTTACCGATCACGAATCTGATTCAAATTGGAATCCATCAACCACATCTTGCCCCTAAAGTCTTGGAGATCGTCTTGGATGTCTTGGCTCATCAAACTTTAAGACCTATGCTTTTGGCTTTAGATGGAGTTCAAAACTTGTTGAAACCTTCGGGTTATAAAGATGGCAGTTTTCAAGATATTGATAGTTTTGTTTTAAATGTACCTAGAGCTTTGCTTCGATTTGCAAGGGGATCGATTCGTTTAGTAAGTTTCTTTTCTTGATCATCATCATCTTTTAAAGAAATGTGAATTGATTTCTGGTGTTACTTTTGATGATGATGATTGTTTAAAGAAAAAAGGATTAACTTTATTAAGTGCTTCATCACTTGATCCCACATCTAAATCAATAGCATGGGATCTTACAGCTTTGAAAGGAGAAATGCCTTCAGGTTATATTTGGCCAGGTTGGGCGGCTTATGGTGAATTGGCTAAACCGATCTATGGGTTTCCTAAACTTGAGATTGGTAGTTTGGAAAGAGAAGAAGCAGTTGGGATGGCCATTGGATTACAACTTACTAAACAAATTCTTGGTCGTAAGTCTTGTTTGTTAATTATGTTTTGAATTTGATTTGTTAATGAGGTGGGTTTCTTTTTCCTTTTTTTGATTGGTTGAATGGATTGGGTTTGTAGCTTTGAGTGATCGAGTGTTTGTTAGACATTTAGTTTCTTCTAGTGGAAATGCTAGAGAGTTTAGAAGAGAAATTAAATTTCAAACTGGGTTATGATTTTGGAAAAAAAGATTGGTTTGAAAAAGAAATTGAGTCATGAGTTTTGATTGAGGAATGTTTAGAGAGAGATGAGGATAATCTAACTTTACATGATTATCATATGATATATATTAGTGATGGATGGAAAGTTGTAATCTTACAGATATATAAGTTTGTATGGGAGTGATGTTCTGGGTCAGATATCCATGTAAACCCAATTGAAGCATTTGATTACAAGTTGAGAAAAGAATTGAGAGTGAGTTGGTTGTATTGAGTGAGAGTGAGAGTGTAACGGAATGTTCCGATTGAAAGTTTGAAATTTAGTGAATTGGGTTCTGCCTTTGTGTTTGAAGAACTTGCCCTTCAACTCACTCACCATCAACTTGCTATCAACCCACTCAACTCACCATCCATCAACTTATCAGTCATCAACTAATCATCAGTTCAATCTCAGATGGTCATCAATCCTAATGCAAAACTAATGTCGACTTCAAATTATCATTTCAACTCAAATCGATCACCTATCAAATTACAATTACAATTACCTGAACTTTCAATCACTCAAGCTGCTCAAGCAAGTAGAGAACGTTGGAAATCAGATTTAGCAAACTTACTTAAACATGCTAACAATCGATTTGCTGATCTAGCTTGGTCTATTGCTCCTCATTCAAAAGAACAGATTTGGGCTCATAAAGGTATGAAACTTTCTACGCATATTCACTTCACTTCCATCTCCATTCGATTCGATTCACTAACCTTGTTCTTTCTTGGATTCATGAATTCATAGCTATCATTTATGCAAGAGCTGGTGGTCAATTTCAACTTAAATATCTTTCTTCACCGGCTCCTCCACCTCATTCTAGAATACCACCTTTACCATCCAATGCTTCATCAGTTTCAATCTCACCTTTTCCAACTTCATTAAGATCTGTCACTCCTCAATCTAATCGAAGACCATCTTCTCCTGGTGGCAATAGTCTTAACTCACTCTCTACTTCAACTCGTCAAGTCTCAATTCTCAATGGAACCGATCCTACACTCTTTCAATCTATCCTTGAAGCTCTTTATACGGCTAATGGACTTTCTGAAGTGTTTTCATTTCTCTTTGATGATCATACTTCTGGTGATGGTCCAGAAGCCCGAACTGACAAACTTCGTAGAGTTAGTCTTTCTTTTTTAATTTTCATCAACACACTCTCGATCATTCACTCTTGCATTCTTCTATGCTGATTTATCATTTTGACCTGCTTTGACTTTGCAAATTAGGATCTCCTCTACATGTGGCGTTCAAAACTCTATTCGGATTGTCATATCATTTTAGTCAGTGAAGAAGGTCTGGATCATACAGAAGATGGAAATCAAACTACCGAACAAGCCGTCTTTTCAGCTCATCGTTCGATTCTATGCAGTCGATCACCCTACTTTGCATCGCTTCTCTTAGATCCTTATGCAGATTCAAGCAAACGTGTCTTCACTTTAGCTTCACCTCCCTTCACACCTGCTTCATTACATTTCTCATTAGGCTATTTATATTGTGGTACACTTGAATTTTCAAATAGAACGTTTGATTTAGCAACAGCGATGCAAATTTGGAGAAGTGCTCAATATCTTGGTTTAGAATTATTAAAAGAAGAAGTAGAAGCCAAGATTTCAGATATGTGTCACAACTTTAAAGATAATTGTAAGTCTTGTATGAGTCGGATCGGTCGGGTTTATGCTTTTTCATTGGCATTGGATGTGAATAGTAAACGACTTGAGAGATTAGCCGAACCATTTGTGGTACAATATTTCGGATTGATTTGGAATAAGGCAATTGGGGAACTTCACTACGGAGCTCAAACTCGGATTGTCGATTTGGTTTGCTCTAGTATCGATCCGAATACGGTCATTGATGCGATTCGCTCCTCAAAACGTCTTAAAGAACGTTTGGCCAACGAACGTTCTGACTGGTCGGATCACCTATTATCTATGTTGGAGCCTATAGACGAACAGATTGCACTGGTCTTACAACGAAAATTTCCGGCTGTGGTAACCTCTAAAGGTTTCTTGGACTTGCTAGTCGGTGTTGGGTTCTCGAATGACGTTTTGGAAAGAGCTTTGATTATCTTGATCGCTCAACTTTCAGAAGAGACAGCCGCAGAGACTTATCAAGTTTTGGTAGGACAAGTTTTGCTACGTGAAGATGGTCTACCGATGGATGCAAGAGTGATAGTAGAAGATGCTAAGGCGAGTGTGATTAAATATCTCAAATCACGATGGATGAATGTACGATCTTTGAATGGATTTGATCCTTTGGAAAATTGGGCTCTGAAAGAAATCGCTGATGGTAATGGTTCTCTTGCTAGTTCATTTGTATTCACACACTGATTGGGTTTGATTGATTTCACAGAGATTGGTGTCACCGTAGACGACCTCTTGCTTTCCACTGTGGCCTCAAACGCTCCAACCACCAAAACGGGCTTGCGTGTTACATCACCTGCTTCAAAAGATAATCAAAATGATGACAAGCATGTCATCAGTCCTGCCTCACTGCGGGCTTCTGTCCTTTGTCGCAATGCATCTCGACAGCAAGCCACACCTACCCCAAGTGTCTCTGGCAGGGTGACGACCAAATCTACCAGCTCAGCTTCCACGGTCACCACCAATCGACTGCACCTCTCAAATGTCACTAACAACTCACCTACCCCTTCAATCAGCTCTTCACTCATATCACGGCCAAGACCAAGTATTGGTAAACAAAAGGCCCTTCTTCCCTCTGTCATCACTGCCACTCGGCGAGAGTCAGAAAGTGGGTCGATTGTGAGCTCCCCAATTTCACGCCGGCCATCGGTCCAGTCAAATGAAACATCTACTTCAACTTCTTCCTCATCTGCATTATCACCTAAACCGGAGCCAGTTGGGATCCCTAAACCTCAGCAAAGAGCAGTGTCCTCTAGCGCTACTTCATCTCACTCGATTCGATCCAATCCACCGCTACCCCCCATGCCCAAATCAGCTAATCTTGACTCACCGCGGCTCTCGGCCAATTCAAGAGCTTCCAGCCCCACTCATAGCGTGACCTCGGTGAGTTCCAGGTCTGTAGGAAAACGTTCTACCTCAGTGGTGGGCAGAGCAAGAAGACCATCTGAAATGACGACATCCAAGCCTAATACTACCGAGCCGAAGCCAAGCAAACCACCTCGAACGCGGACTATCACCGGAACCTCTACCATATCCATTCGGTCTACCGCATCTGCTACTCCGAGCCGCGTGCAAGCTCCTGCAACACCAAACGGTCGTAAATCATTCAGCAAGCCAGATACGGTCCGCAAAACACCGTCGAGCCTCTCCATGCGCTCTGATGCATCAAATGCAACGGTAGGAGCAGTTTACAAGCGGCGACCCAGCGCGGCAGCAAAGACTCCTACGTCTTATGCTTTTTCTGAAACGCCCCCAATGACACCACCTGCTGCTACAATCATCAAGAAGAAAAACCCACCTACTGTCACCCTGGCAGCCAAGCGGCCTGATCGACTACGAACCACTAGTGCGACCGCTCGTACAAGTGCTGCCACCACTGTTCTTCGTACTGCTCAACCTGTGCCTGTTCCACCACGACCGAGTTCAGTAACCTCTGTGCGGACAAATGCCTCGACAAAAACAAATGGTGCCACCAAAGCTTCGGGTATCAAGTCAGAGCCTAATTCGAGTGGAATAGCCAAATCGGTCAAAGCTAAATCTAAAGATACAACAGCACTGATGCCAACAGTGCCAAGCGTGAGGGCCAGAACGGTTTCAACAAATTCTGTCACGCCTGGTGTACGTGCTCGAATCATGTCAACAAAGTTACCATCACCACTTGTCACTCAAGCCACTCGACAGCGAAAAGCTAGTGCCATGAGTGAAGTGACGCGTACACCAAAAGCCACCAAGGAGCCCAAAGAGTCGAAAAAGCAGGTTGAGGAAGATTCCAAGTCAGAGCACGAACCAGGACATCAATCACAAGGCTCGAATGCTTCCAACTCTACCGTTCGACTTGGCACGAGTAAGGAAGCGCCACAACAGACGATCATCGTCACCCCATCTTCTTCACCATCTCTTCATCGAATCTCAGCCAATACAGTTGTACCCCCAATACCACAACCAGGAGGACCATTACCAGGCTTTCCACTCTTGGTAGGAATTCCATGTGTAGTAGCTACGACGACAACTTTACCAGATGGAATGATTCAACCGATCAAGTTTAGAGCCGTAGTGAAGTATTTAGGTAAAACGTTTTTTGGATCAGGTGAATGGGTAGGAGTTGAAGTAGCCGAAAAAGAAAACATGCCAGAGAAAGAATGGAATGAAGGGATGATTGATGGGATTAGGTATTTTGAATTAGGACAAGAATCGAATGAATCGAAGAGTAGATTGATGAGAAACTTATCGGCTACACCATCTGGAGCTGGACCAGGTTTAGACCGTAATTCACCTTCTTCTAGACTTGGATCACCAGGTAGTGGAAGTAGAAGTGGAACGAGTAGTGTGAATGGAGGAGAGTTTGGAGTAGGCAGTTTAGGATTAAGACCTACGATGAATTCTAACAATTCACGTAGTTCTAGTAGATTGAAACATGTTGGATCTGATGAAGAGATTGATGGGATCTCTAATGGATTAGTACCTACTAGAGGTTTGTTTGTTAAACCTCATGAAGTGATTTTTGTTTTTTAATTCAAAGATTCTCTCTCTGTGTTTTTTTTTTCTTGTGTCTGTTTTGTTTTTTTTAGTAAGAAAAAGATACATCATAGTGAACTTTTTTTTTCATTTATTTGGTTTTCTGATTTGGGTTAGTTTTTTCTTTGGGGGGAGGAAGAGCAGGAGGGAGGGAGTATGGAATTTTTTAAAAAAATATTCTCTTATTTGAATTCTTTCGTTTTATTCAATCTTTTGGACTTTTATCTATCTATTTAAATATATAAATATACTTATTGTTTTTTGCTTTCTATGATTCATGATTTGATGAGGGTTTTTTTTTTGCAAATTTAAGATAAAACTGAATAAAACATTATTCGGATTTATGATAAAACTCTTCGTGTGAGCAAGTTGAGGTGCTCATGGGGACGGACATGGTGTGGAAAGTATCAATACACGCAAGAATGTGGGCCAAAATGATATGATGATTTGTAACCAGTTAGCTCGCAACTGAGGTAGCGTGAAGACCGACAAGGCGGCAATTTAAGAATGACAAGGACACCTTTCCTCACTTGAACACATTAGTTGACCTCGGTAGCATAAGCAGTCAGGGAAATAGATTGGTATATTCTAGAGAAAAGAAACAGTTCAAGAGAAGCGACAAGATGAGAGACCCGAAACTAGATACAAATGCGATCAAAACAAAAACGATATCGTGAAATTGCTTATGCAGCATCAAGTGAAACATATCGATGTGAGCTAGTCTTCCCGATATTGACTTGGGGCGAGCGGCCTAGACGAGCTCCTACACTTCTTTTCTTATTGAATTGTGTTAAATATTTTTCGGGTTCCGGGACTGTAGTACTGGGTTGTATCTTACGCCAATTGTATGACAAACGTGAATGACCGTGTAAGAGGCAATCTGGAACCTCTTCAGTTGCCAGGAAGAGATCGTAGATGATACAACCAATTATTGCGCCGCTGAAAGTGATCGAGGAAGGTATAGAGACAAGCGAAAGTCAGTTAAAAAAACCTTTCAAGTGAGCAAATCATTAGACTTACAATACGGGTCCCAAAGTAGCAACAGTTATGAAATAGCTGATAGTCCAGAGTGCAAATCAAGCATAAATTTCAAGAACCCGGAGTAGGGCAAAAGGGGCGCTACGTACCAACTCCGGATGGTCCAGACCGAGTTTCCGTAGCCCGCTAACCATGTCAATAACCTGGGCCCGATATCACTATTTGGTGAGGAAGTGATCTTGGGGTCAGCAAACCTGTGAGAGAGAATGATCACGTAGAGTAAGGCAAACGTACCGCGCCGGATTGAGAGCAAAGGAAGTCTATGCGCCAAAAAACGATAGATATGTGTGAGCGGTTCAGGAGCAAGTATGATGAGCTTGGGGATACCCTCAAGAACTGACCTGCATTCCTAATCCCGATGCCAGGCCAAATACCACCCAAAGGATAAAAAATGGTCCAAGGCCTTTGACTGGAGCGATATTTCCACTATCTCCAACTGCGAGGCTGTTTGGAAAGACGGTAATCATTAGTCAATTATGATCACTCTGGAAATTTTCATCATGAGAAAACATACATGAACAACATGAGAATTGCAGTCATAAGCATCTCGTTGTAGAAACAATTAAAGTTTGAAACGTAGGGTAAGCTATTGAGAGTAACATTATTGAATCTGTTAGCTCGACGTCCGGATGATTTGTGGTGCTCATAAGTTATGCAAAGTCCATCAATGCTCACGGATCTAAAAATGAAGATTGTCAGCTAGGCATATAAATTCACGGGTACAGAGAATATTTGCTCAACTAGTGAAAAACAAGCCCCCAGTGCCATTAATTGTTCGTATTCCAGCACCGCCCTCGACGAGACTGATCGCACGCGAATAATTCCAATCTGGTGATCTTTATCATCAGCGAGTTTATGGGGAAATATATGAACAAAAGACGCGCTTACAGACAAGTCTGTGAGTCACAAGTTATCGGAAGTAGAAATTATTGGCGCGCGAAACAGCACAACATTTAGTATAACCACTTTCGAACTCATGGGATCTGAGGAAATGACTGACGCAGCTCCAAAAGTAGCGCCAGTGAACTGAGCCAACCAATAGAGTGGGCTGTGGAAAAGATGAGGAAGTGTACGTATCATGAACACCTGCTCATTGTACAATGTGTATTGGTCATGAGTTCCAGCACAAAACTTACACCATCGCCCAAGAACTTTGTGATGAAGGGAGGAAGGAAAGAGGCTCAAATCAGTGTCTGCTTGAACGTGGGCAGATCAAGTGACATTAAATTACTCACAATCCTCGAAAGATCGCCAGGGCCTGGGTAGTCAGATTCGGACAGAGAAAAGAAACAAGATGAAAGTTAGTTGCTACTCAAACTGGGCGGATCATATGACATCAATTTACTCACCAGAGTGACGGCCGGATTGAGCTAAACGAGACCTCGACGCGCCCATCAGTTTCTGGAGCAATTGATGGACATTGAGAGGGAGAACGAACATGACCACCGCTCAGTCCGCCAGACAAGACAACGCCCAACATCCTGATTGAGAGCATGGTTGAAATGTGGTCAGCCCAAGAGCGACAAGCGAATTTGTAAGTTCTGATGACGTTCACTCACACAGCCAACCCCCATCCGAACTAAATACGTGCGCAGAATGCGTAGAATGATCAATGCATGTCTATGAAAAACTTGTAGGATGATGAGGCTCACTGCGACAGAAACGAAAGAGCCTGTTGGCGTGCTGGACACTAGTGTTGATCCCCCAAGTGCAACCTGATGATTGACAGCCGTCCCTATAAAGCGCGGATGGAGTTGAATGTCATGCCTAAACCATCACAAAAGACAGATACTTACCGAAGAGGACCAAAATAGCAGTTCCAAAGAACTCACTGTGTCGAAAAGTTTCGGGTGAGGATCGTTAGTGATTGAGCCTATCTTGTGTGCATAATTCATGGGAAACTTACGCCCAAAATTTTCGACTCGCTCTTTTGAATCTCACCACGCAGTTTCCATACGAAGGTTTACGAGGGAAATCTGATCCGCCTGTTATGATTCGTTTGTCCGTTTCGCGCTGACGAATGGCTTGTGGAGTCTGGCTGGCTGCCAAGTAATCAAGATTGTAACCGACCTCTGCCATATCGGTGGTATGAAGCCGTGAAACATGATCCAGAAGAGGGGGATAGCCATGGTTATGGCTAGGGTCTTCTGCAATGGCAGCTTTGAAGACTGAAACGTCGTCTGCTGGAGTATGCAATACGACTGACTCTCCAGAGGAACTTGTACCCGAGACGCTTCTGCTTTTGTTAGGAATATCGTCTTTCATCTTAGATTTATTGAGCCTAAGAGGAGGGTAAGATGTAGAAAGCTTTGGAAGGGATAGAGGGTAGTGATAGAATGAATTCAAAATGCTGGAGAAAAAAATGTTCTAGGGATTGTGGGAAGCAGTGAGGAAGCGGGTGAGTCGGACGCGTCGCACACCGGCTTTTATGCATGGATGACCGTTACTGCTGTTGCTGTTCCATCTCATTAAATCTTGTTCGAAAGCCGTCTACCATTGCGCTTGCTAAACCGGTGCTCGGAAAGCTTTGCGATGCACGTCAAGGGATAAGCCTCCACTAACTTTTATTGGATGACCACTGTCAAACTCCAGCAAGAAGATTATGTAAGTGTACCGCACGATCTTGCATCATTGTTGCACCCAGTAGTACGTGGGTGAGGGTGGTAGCCCTGGGCCGTGTCCAGTCGCGTTCCCTTTATACTTAAGCTCACTTAATTCCATGAACTTATCCAAGTCCCACGCTCGCCTTGAGCGAGCCCCAAGTTTATCAATTCAAATATAGCTGATGCCGCTCGCTTACTCAACTGCCAAGACATGGGCGGAAACCCCATGTGATTAAGCGACGACTTTGACGCTTCGATGAGATCATGGTCATCTTCAGTCACCACCCTTGTCTCGTTGGTTCGTATACATGCCGGTGCTCCAGGAGTCAGAATCATGGACACATTTATACATACGGTACAAACGTGCTTGCAGAACATCTACAGAAACTCAAGACAGAATCAACGTAATGCGGGAGCAGACTATGTAGTTTGCCAGTTCGCTTCCCCCTCGTGTGATTCTTTTTTAAGTGCCTCCTGAGCCGGAGGCCACCCATATGGACCAGCCGTGTCAAGCAGTCAGATGACCCATGGCACTCATGGGCAGACTTGCCACCGACATGACTCGCAATTGAAGCAGCTTCAAGTTGTATCAGCCACCTTGAGCGCAAGTTAAGTCTCAGACTCCAGCTAACAACATTGAAACACATATACTGGTGGTCATCTCAGACTTTGGATGAATCAAAAGTTAAATGATGATTGAGAAGCTTACATTCCAGACATCAATATCAACTGGTTGAGTCATTTACTGAGCTGTTTTTTTTTTGGAAAAAGAGCAAGACTGTAAAAATATCAGCCAATGTTGATATTCTGTTCATTCCATGTGATCAATTCCTAACAATTTTCCCTTCTCCACTGACATGATTGTTTCAGAGCATGAGGGTACTACAGTAGAGGGACCCACAGTCATTTATTCACTGCTGGTGGTGGTGTGTCCACAAGCAAAAAAAATGGATATGTTTCTTTGGTCATCAATATTCCCCAAGCACCTTCATCACAAGAGGATTATCAAAATATTCATTGATATCCTTGAAAGAATCTTGGCTCCAGCGCAACTTCAAACTTAACAGACATTCATGCCAAGTTCATACGTGGTTTGCACCTTGAAGATCAGCATAGGACTATTGGAATTGATTTGATACTCACATCTGGGTCTTTGAAGGATAATGATCTCATCAGTGTGCCCACAAAGGGACTTGAAGCAAATAAGTATCTGTTTGGTTAGATTATAAGGTATTATTTGTTCATTGGAGCAAACTTCCCACAAGATAATAATCTATAACCACCAACCTCCTTGGAAACCTTTGGCTAACATCATAAGGCTGTAAATCTGGATTGAGATGAGAAGAATATGTCTTATATGGCTGCTTATCTGTTTTGTCATGAGTAAGAGTATATCTGATATGTCCATGTGTTGTTCATCAAAAGTCAGACTGCCCATGATTAGGGCTCCTGCCTGAGGCTGACATGTGGTCATGCATCATACTTCAATAGTGGCATATCAACAGATCTGTTGATTATTTTTCCATTTGATATCCTGATTCATAGTCTCTCTCATGATATGGAACATGCTCATTCATGGGTTGGCTATACCTCAAGGAGTGGTTCTTATGCAAGCTTTGGTACTGGTACCATACTAAACTTTTTGTTCCTCATGAATGATTCTCCTTGTTTATTTGAGTTAATGTGGCACACTAGATACATTGACACACTAGATACTGACTCATAGAACACAATATTCCAAACAATGCCAACCAAAACCTCATACATGGAACATACAAGGGAAAAAGATCCAGATTGAAGCATGGGGTCATCATGTTTGACAACTGAAAGAATACTGTGGAGAATCATCTTCATGATCACAATCATTCAAATGCATAGAAAGGTGGGGGTGGTGTCTTGGTGATTTATTTGTGGGATCAATCAAGAAAATCAATCATTGGTTGTTGACCAAGTCATTAGAAAATTTCAGCATAGAAGCAGAATTCAAAATCGAAGAGCCTGATCAATTGAATCTCTTTTGGGCTTACATGTATTGATCATTAGGTCATGACTAGGTCATCATATTTCAACAAACTTATTAAGATCATTATAAATTATTCACAAACAGATTACAAAAAGAAAGAAAAGAAAAAGATAAGAAAAATTTGAAAATATAGGTATATAGGCTTGGAAATGGTTTTTAGGGTATTAATATTAGGTTTATGGGTTTTGTGAGGTTGGAACATGAAGGAACAACACTATCTTATACAGTAACAACTTTAATCTTGATGGTTGATAAGGAGGAAAAAAAGTTATTAAGAAAACAGTACTTTTTTGAAGCTGGTAAACAAGGGTTTTACGGGTAGTTTACATATGTCACAGTGGTGTTAGTAATATTTAAGGTTGCCAAGAGGATTTTCCAGTCTTTTTAAAGTTATAGATGATGATATCATATCACATGAGCAAGAAAGAAGGAGTAGTAGTTGTGTAAAGTGGTGGAAATGGGTGGATTTAGTCAAAAATGAAGGTTTTCAGCTGATTACATATGTCAAATGACGCCAGAATTGGATGGTAGAATGCTCATTCAACGCAGAAGAGGGGACTACATAATGTACAACCTGTTAATCACTAGCAACAGAGGTGTGTGGAAGAGGTTACAAGGGAAACAAGGAACTGGTGTGAACTTCAAAATTTACATGTACATGCATACATGTAACAACATTTACATACAAAAACCTTAGCTTCACAGCTCAATAACTCATTCATCACTGATCGGAACCACCTGATATGGCACCAATTATTGATCAACCTCACAAGCTCTACAAGATGCACTTTAGTAATCAAAAATTGGACCCCATTTGAAAAAGTTGTAATCTCAAAAATAGGTTTTCAGCTAGTTTACAAGGAAAAAATCACCTGTATTCATCATAAGTAGTGCTGTACATCATTCAACTATGTCATTGATCACTTTTGGCTGTGTAAATGACATCAGAAATTAGTAACAAGATCATTACATTGTGTGACCACATGGTTTTTAGGGGTTTCTAGTCAAAATTGATTGGTTTTTGAGGCTGTTGACCATTGTAGTAGTTGTTACACATGAATATAAATACTCACTGATGATTTTGTGATTGGTTTTCCCTTTTCTGAATATTATACCATTGTTGTAGTGTTATAAATCATCATTTATAACACTACATTTGTACTAAGTTCACTGTAATCCGCCCCTTAAAAGCAAGGAGAAATTTATTTGTGTGTGTTAAAGACTATAAGTCTCTCTGGGAATAATACTTACAACAGTATTGCTAGTAATTGGTATTGTTTTGTGATCTCTTGCACTTAAAATCTGGAATAATACTTATTAAAAATAGGCCGTTGCTATTTGCAGCCCACAAGAAAACCATGTAGGCGCTGGCCAAATTACGCCTACATGGGTGTTTCCCACGAAGAAGCGCCTACATTTATGATGTAGGCGCTGGAAACCATCCAAAATGACGCCTACATGTCAAAAAACCCATGTAGGCGTCATTTGGTTACGCCTACATTCAAAAAATGAAATGTAGGCGTAATTTCCAAGCACCTACATATGTAATTTGAAATGTAGGCGCTATTTTTGAGCGCCTACATTCAATTTTCAGCTCAAATAAGCGCCTACATGCAGTCCTGCATATGTAGGCGCTACAAATCCGGCAACTACAACTCCAGACTGGTCTGAAGGGTAATGAAGAACAATTTTCAAGTCAAAATGAGAGTATTGGAAGACGGAAAAAGCAGTTTGGACTCAAAATGAGTGTATCGGAAGACAGATAAAGCAGTTTGGAGTTGAAATCAGTGTATTGGAAGACCAACGCTGGGTAAGCTGAGCTCTCCGCAGCTGGGGCGCAGCGGAGCGGAGCGTTTTATGTGACCCGCTGCGCCACATGGGAGCGTAGCTCTTTCAGGGTATACCCCGCAGAGCTACGGGCCCTGGCAAATCGGGGTTTTTTAACAAAAGCTACGCTGCGGCACGGGTAGTGCCGTTATCCGGCACCGTTAGCTCCCGTGCCGGGTCTAGATTTCCAATCAGTATGAAACACACCTCGTTTCCTCATCTGGCACCTCTACGGCACTAATTTACCAAGCAAGGATGCTACATACCTCGATGTGGACTAATTTTCGACGCATGCGGCGTCACCCACAGCCCAGGGATTCGATGGCGATATACTTGATGGTCATTAAGGTGAGACTCTTTTGATTTCTCTCCACCCAGCTCATTACTTTTTGTATCTTCCGTCGAATACACTTTCTAACTTTTCCTTTATCGGTTTTTTTTACCTCCTAATCGTTACCAATAGCTTACTCGTCAAATGTCCTCTGTAACCTCCGAACGTCCGTCGCGGTCTCGCACACAGACTAGCAACCCTGGAATGATACCCCAGAGTGTCGATCGAAAGTCTCATCCAAAGCAAGACCAAGTCTCTCAAACGAAAGAACAAATCAACAGGTTCTGTCAGTCTCATTACGTCTGATGAAGAGTCAGTCGCTGGGGTGGTTGAATCCGAAGGAAGCATCATTTCATCTCCGGTGGTCAGCAAGCGGAAGAAATCAAAGGCGAAGAAGCGATCTAAACCAACAGACGTTAGTCCTGTCCACCTTTTTAAACTCTATACCATCTATCTATCATCGCGCTTCTACACTAACTTA